ATTCCCTCTTCTCTACGAGCAGCTAAGGCCTGTGACTCCTCGACACCAGATAGCCTAAGGTAATATAAACCATCACGAAGCTGTCTCGTCCCAATCGTCCTCCTGGAGTGTAAGTCCTGGATGACGCAAAATTCGCGTAAAAAGGTTAAAGCGACATCAAAATCTTGAGTGAGCCTGCTAACTGACAGAAGGTTGCACTTAAACAATGGAAGACTGAGCACCCAACTGAGCTTCATTCCATTTGACAAATTGATATCCCCAACTCGTTTGACTGTGACACTATCCCCATTCAGAATACTGACTGGTAAATAACCCGATACCTCAGCAGAATTTTCTAACAAGGACTCATTAATCATAATATACTCATTGCATCTCGAATCAATGATCCATTCAGTCTGTGATAGAAAATTACCTGCCATGTTGACTTGAGGATCGAACGATGAAGACGGATTAGGTTGACCGCCATTGTGATTGAGAAACTCGAGCAACTGTTGTACCTGCTCGGAATTCAGCCCAGGAATACTAACTCCAGCACCACTCGAGGACTGCGCAGCACGGGAGGCATGTGGTTTCCCGGTTCGCTCCTTTTCCCGTTCACCTTGACGCGAATCCCGATCACGTTCACCTGAACGAGGCTTCCTCTCCGGCCAACCAATAATTTCATAACAATTTTCTTTGGTGTGGCCGGGTCTTTGACAATGACTGCATCACTGTTGCTCCTTGCGATCAGGGCTACGAGACCGTTCCTCTCGCCTTCTATGATCTGAAGTCATGCGATCTTGGCGGGCTTGGAACGCGGCAGCATCTACGGTTGGGCGCCGATTTGCAGCAATTTGCCGGTGCTGCTCCTCGGTGGAGACGAGCCTGTAAGCTTCTCCAAGGGTTGGAGTTGGCTTCATGGACATGATCTGTATCTTCACAGTTCCAAAAGCATCCCCCAATCCCATAAGGAAATCAAACAGTCTATCGTTTTCCATATTGCTCATTACCTTTTTGTCAATTTCACAAGTGCATTGCCCACATGTGCACCACGGGATAGGTGTGATCGTCTGCATTTCCTCCCAAATCGCACGCAATTTGGTGAAGAAGGTAGATACACTGAGCTTCTCTTGCCGCAGAGTACTCATCATCGTACGAAGTTCATACGCCCTAGGAGCCGATCCTCGTCCAAAACGCGCCTCAATATCGGTCCACATCTCCCGAGTCGTCTTGGCATAACGAATGGAGCTCTGTACCTCCTTATCCATGGCTGTCTTCAGCCATCCTTTAACAAGGGCATCGCATTGGAGCCACGCCTCATGTAACTCGCCCGCAGCTGCCGGCTTGACTACACTCCCATCGACAATTTTGAGTTTGTTTTTTGCAATTAGGGCCTCCGTCATATCCGTGGCCCACTCTCCATAATTGGAGTCATTCAACAACTCACCAATGAACAGTTGACCTGGGTTATCTGACGCTTGAATCCTCAACGCGGCGGGGACAACAGGAGGGAGGACGAGACTTCCTCCACTGTCACCGGTTGCACCGCCATCAGTACATTTACCGCTCATGATGATGACTTAGGGCTTAGAAAGCCAGCTCTGATACCATGTCATAAACCAGTTGGTCCCAATAACTCGAGTTGTTGTGGTATAAGATCCAGCATAACCTTCTCCCAACAACTCGAGTTATTGGGACCAACTGGTTTATGACACACTGGCCATTTGATTCCTTCAGGCTCCGCTGGTTCTAACTTATCAATTTTCGGTACGCCTGGTTTCGGCCTCTAATTTTTTCGGTTTGATGGTCTATCACAGATAGAGGTTGCAATTAGATTGGATGAATGAATTGATGGATTGAATTGGTGTATCTATGGATCAAGTGGATTGAATTCAATGGATTCATGGATTGAATCAAGTGGATTGGTGGATTGATCCAGGAATCCAAATGACATTTAAATCTTTGACCAATATGTAAATTTTGAAAAGTTTGGATACTAAAATATCATGATAAAAACTTTTAGGTACCAAAACGAAATTTTCCAATGATATTTTTCGTATAAAATTTTTTTGGGTACAAAATATAAAAAATATAGGTACCAAATCGTAATTTGCCATTTGGATCCACCAATCAATTGGATTTGGATTAAATAGATTGGATTGGGTGGATAATTTGATGGATGGATTGGATTGAATTGAAAATTGTTACCTCTAATCACAGCCAAAAATTATCGCTAAAATTACTGAATGGTTAAAGGTCGTCCTAAAAATTACTAACCATCGTCCTAACTTAATATGTAATTTACCGAATTGCCCATTTTGAATTTCAAAATCAAACACAAAACAAACAATCCCTCCCAATTCCATAAATCTAAAAAAATATAAACCAAAATCCAACAAATTATCTTATGGACCGAACCATAAATCGTAGTAAAAGAATAGAAAACTATTGATATAAACCAAACAATTCCAAAAAAATTCCAAAACCCCTCAACTGAAGGTGATTTTCGGTTGGTCCATGGTACAACCGAAAATTGGCTTCGGTTGAGCCATGGTACACTCGAAAATTGGCTTCGGTTGAGGGGTTTTGTGTTTTTTTTTAAATGGAGTTTTACCTCGTCGGAGTCACTACTCATGATTCGGACGTATTCCCAACGATTACGACTCGAGAATGTCAAGGATGAATTCGATAGTGTCGGAAATTGAGTGTTTTTCATTTTTTTAGTCAAAGTGATGTTTGTTTGCTAAAGATGTCAAAAGGTTAAAAGTATAACTTTGTTATTTTTTAAGATGATCAGTAATAATTTTAAAGACGACCTTTATCAATTTCCTAAAATTAAGCCAAGATAGAATCTTGAAAAATATCTGATTGATGGAGGGTAATGAAGCATTGGGACAATGGGAAAAAAAATACAACAACTTTAGCTTTTTTTATAACTTTCCGTCGAACATCGATTTTTTCGATTTTGAAAGTTCGGAGAGTTGGATATGTGTTGGAAGTTGTGAAGAATTGGTGTCGTTCCTTTGATAGGCCATTTGATGAACCGGAGAGAAACAGGGAATCTGAATCCGCCAAATTGGATGCCATACCCAAAGCCACACTTGCGTAGTTCCACAAACTCTGTCGTGATACAAACATATCGTACAAAGTTTACTAGATGAAAATTACTCATTACATAATACATCAATGAAAAGTTACTGTGTACAGTTTGCATAATCACCTGACATCCGATGTGGTTGGATACTACTATCCATTACATCATAATACAATGTAATACTTATGGGTATTTGGATGTGGTATATATTTGTCAAACTTATTATTCAAATCAATTACCACACGAATACCACATGTCATAATACATGTTATTTGTTGGTGTCGTCTTCGGTGCACTCACTTTTTTGGGTGCACTCACTTCATAATTGTCATTTTAAACATGCGGTTTATGTCAAAATGATGTCAATCATCACTTATGATATGATGAACAATAACGCACATGAATTTGCACAAAAACCATTGAAGATTTACTTTAATTTGAAGGATTTAGAGTTTAGAGATTTAGGTTTAGGGTTAAGGTTTACAATTTGGGGTTTAGGGATAGAACTCAAAATTGGAGGTCTAGAACTTAGGGTAATCCACTAATTAGTTATTATCGTATATTATATCATCATATTACACTAATTCTACAAATTAAAATTCAAAATCCGACACCTTAAGACTAGTTTTTGAGTTGGGTGCATTGAACACACTCATTTTTGTGAGTGCACCGAAGTAGTCACCGTTATTTGTTATGTGGTATTTGTACAAAATATCACACTTGAATGAATTATAAGAATTGATTTGTTAATGTGGTATTTGCACTGAAATTTGTTATTTTATCAACTTTACCTTTTCAACCCTATCTTTTTCTTGCTTGGTCGGCGTGTTTGCATGCTTGGTCAACATGTACGGAGTTTGTATACACAATTTTAATATAATAGAGTGTTTAAGAGATTCACATAAGTTACGAAATATCAATAATATAATGTGACAAAGACATATTGAGTCCTTGTTAGTGGATAGGCGCAATGTAGTTAAAATCGGAATTTTGATCGTAAAATCGTAGGATTTTAAGATTTTACTTAAGGATTTCGATCCTGATTTTACTATTAAATTGGTGGACCTTAAAATCGCTTAAAATAGGGATCAAAATCGTTAAAATCGTACCAAAATGGGGATTTTGATCGTATGAGAACAAAATAGGTGGTTTGAGCCAATTTACAAAAAGAATAAATGTTTTGGCGGAAAGGGCGATGACGAGAATCTTCTCATATATTTTTATTATTAAAAAATATTGAAAAATAATAAAAATAACCAAATTAGGACTCGGTTAATTCCTTTCCCGTGGCCCCATTTAACTTAACAGTTGCCATAATATTGGAAGCACGTAAGAATTAACATCATTATTAACTAATTAATTTTTTAATGAATATATTTGTATCAAGCCACTAGCATTATTTATTTTATTGAAGTTAAATTATTTTCTAGGATAGTGTTTTATATATGGATAATTTGTATTGAGAGATTATTATTTGACTTTAATTTTGATAGAAACTTGTTATTATAAATTTTTTACGATAAAAACCCGTGGGTACCCATGAACCCTACCCGTGGATACCCACCGGGTTGGGTTTGAGTTTTTCAAACCCAGTAATTTTACCCCAAATTTTTTTCACAGATAAACTCATGGGTTTGAGTTTGGGTTTGACAAAACCCGACTCATTGCCATCCCTACCCGAGAACTTGCCCTATCATCGTTGGGTAACCCAGGCCGTGGTCCAATAAGATACAGACGGTGCAAATCCGGTCCGGCTCTCATCATGTGCAAAATAGGCTAGGCCCATTTTGACAAGCCCAGTTCATAATAAATATTGGGCTAGCCCCATCCGTATAATATAGGAGTCCGTGGGTTAAAACAGTCATTAGGATTCCGCCGTCCTTATAAACCCTACTTGCTTTCCTTCCATCATTTTACGAACCCTAGAGGACGGCTATCCAGCTGCTGCTTCCGACGCAACAGGTCTCATCTTTCTCCTTTCTTAATCTCTTTTCTCAAACTTTCTTCTCTGAATAAGTTCGCAAACCATCGATTTACTGACATTAGGCTTATCTTCCCTTTGTTGCTCGTTCAGTGATTCAATCGATTGGTAGCAATGGCCCCTCCAAAAGGTAAGACCTAGCTCTAGAAACTTATTATTCCTTTTCCCTGCCGTTGGTGATCTTGGTCTTGAAGGTGAATCAGGGTTTTCGCGTTGTCTTTGTATGTTCAGCATTTGTTGTTCCGGGACATGTTAGATTAGTAATAGAAATCGATTAAACCTGAACCCATTTCTTAGAAAGTGGTAAGGAAGATGAATATAGAGTTTTGCTTGAAGAGGGTTTAGAGTTCTGTATACTTGGGTAGAACTGGTGTTGTGTAATGACCCAGGACTGCCACTGAGTGAATGGATGACAGCTGGAGGAAGTATAAATAGGAAGAGAGGAGTCGTGTAATAGCTATCTTTGATCATTCTTCCCAGAATTGTTTCGAGAATAGCTTGTAGATAGACATTCATTAGTACTCGTCTCTGTAAAACTCTGCTCCTCCCTTTTGCTGGAATAAACAACGATCCCTATTCCTTACATGTTGTTTAAGAATCCCTTATGCTCGTTCCTTCGTTGCTGGAGCTTTTGATTGATTGTTTTGCTTCTGTATTCATGAAGCAGATAGCAAGCCGAAGCCAGATGCCAAGGCACAGGCAGTCAAAGCTGCTAAGGCAGTGAAGTCGGGCCCAACTTTCAAGAGGAAGGCCAAGAAGATCAGGACCAAGGTCACATTCCACCGCCCAAGGACACTGAAGAAGGAGAGAAACCCCAAGTACCCAAGGATTAGTGCACCTCCCAGGAACAAGCTTGATCACTACCAGATTCTGAAGTTTCCTCTGACCACCGAGTCTGCCATGAAGAAGATTGAAGACAACAACACTCTGGTCTTCATTGTTGATATCCGTGCTGACAAGAAGAAGATCAAGGCTGCTGTCAAGAAGATGTATGATATCCAGGCCAAGAAAGTCAACACCCTCATCAGGTATTTCTTCAATTTGAAAAACTCTGATGAGTGTTATCCCCCCAAGTCTTCTGTTTACATGTTGTGTTTACAAGTATGCGTAAAACCTGTCATCAGAATATAGAGTTATGGACAAAAGAGTAGATACTAAGAGAAGAACATGATAACAACCTGAATATTTTTCTTTGCGTTGTCAATTAGTTTGCAGCAACTGAAGCTTTCCTGATGTATCGTTGAAATAAGTATGAATGTGTGTAAATTGTGGTTTGATCAACTGAATCACAGTTAGTTTGGAGTTTGAATTTATGGAAGCTCAAGGAAATTTCTTTGTACAATGCATATAGTGATTTTCCTTTAGGGGGAAAAACCCATAGCATGATGCATGTTATATAACATTTATGCCTGGTGCCTCGTATGGAGAAGTTTATTGGGTTTGATCAGTAACCATAATTGCTATTAGCTTTGTTTAGCGTTCTGAACTTGGTGCATTCAGATGTGAGATTTGTAGTTACTATGTACTCAGACATCATATGCGTTGCAAGGTGTCATTGTTGGTCTATTTTTCATTGCAGGCCTGATGGTACCAAGAAGGCATATGTGAGGTTGACCCCAGACTACGATGCATTGGATGTGGCAAACAAGATTGGCATCATATAAGTTTGTTTCCTGGCCGTTTGGTTTCTAAGGGTTTTGCTTTATATCTTGTGTTAGAGTACAACAGTTTTGTTATGATGATGCAAAACGAGATTGGAGTTTGTAAGCCTTTGTTACTGGTTATGGATAATCTAGGCTTCTACTGTTATAAGTTCACTTGTTCCGAATCTAGCCATGGATAATCTCCCATTAAGTCGCTCTCAAATCTCAATCACCTTTGTGTTACCTCCGAATATACACTGTTGTTTCACTAGTTTTAGAGTTAGTTCTGCTGCTATTTGCGCACTGTGCTATACCAATACAGGCCTATAAACTACGAGGGTTCCACAATCGTACTGGTAGTGGATTGCAGAAATCTCCTACAATAACAGTTGTCCACAAAGCTAACATAGACCTACAGGAAGACGGATGTCAACTCGTGCCTGATGGCATCGCCGAACTGGGGCGCGCTTGGCAAGCTGGGGGATGGCTGTGGGTTGTGGCTGCCACCAGCTGAAAGCTACGCTGGAGCTGGATAACAAAGCCGCAGTCTACAGATAGTTGAGACGATTGGTCGTGTTTTCCCATGCAATCTAGCAACATGTAATTTTATTTTGGTAAACGCTAACTCTTGAGACGTGATTTTTGACATGGTTACTGGTTAGTACTAGATATCCCATGATGGCATGAATGATGATGGTGTGAATGTAATATAGTGTAGAATGATTATGGGCATGATGGTAGAAATATACTAACCATCATTTCTCACCTTTTACCACCGTCTATCACTAGTTAACGTCTTATATCAGAGTGGTGAAGGGTAATATGTTTGGTTTTGAAAAAAAATTTACTAGAAATTTGTAGATCACGAAGAAATTGTTTCTTCTGTGCCGAATTTTCAAAATTTTGAATTAAAAATGAAGGTAGTATAGAGTGGTAACGAATGGTATGCAAAATTTATCAAAAATATATAAAAATGAATATCATTGTTTAGATCACAATAACTTCGTTCCACCTGTGAAAAAAAAAAGAAATTAAAATTCGAAATCGAGACGAATAAGATACAATATTAATTAAAGTAGGGGAAATAAGGAAAATGCTTTTAGTTTCACCCCTCCCAAAATTAAGAGACAAAATTCTAGTTATGCACCCTAGTTTACACCAAGTTTCCTTGGTAAAGAAGGAACTAAACGTACGAAGTGCACGGGAAACATTCATAGCAATATAGTGTTACATTACATGTCCCTTTGGGTAGATCCAGTAAAATTCGAAACCAAACATACAACCATTGAGAAATTAAAATAAGATGAATATTAGTCTATCTTTTTTGTTAATGACGAGCACTACTGTGGGCTAAGAACTGCGTTGACTGAAGCTTTCAGACATCCGAGAAGGACAAAATTCCAAGGGTCAAGGGCACTCGGGGCTGGCAACTAATCCTCCGAAGAGTCATTAATTAGAAAGCATCAAAAGTTCACAAACAGCCACAAAGAACAGCAACACCTGCAGCAGTGTCCTTTTGAAGATGAATATTTGCCTATCTTGTAACTAAAACTCTAACGAGCTTATATAGGATACACCGACTTACTTAACTCTCACACTAATAAAAACATACCTAATTTTTAGTTTGGAGTCTTAACATAGAAACAGTAGGGCTGGGAAAATAGACCAGACCATTAGAAAAATCGTGGTTCAAACCGTACCGTACAGTTTGGTATGGACCGTAGATTGTTAAGTATGGTCTTGTCTAGTCCATGGTCTGTATTATTTTATGTTTTGAACTCTTGGTCTGGTCTGGTCTAGACCGCGGTTTACCGGACCAAACCGTGGACCCAACTGACTTGTCAATACGTGTTAATAGCCATTCGATCAGTCTCCCAACTCCCACAACAACACCCAAGTCTCAACCTTAATTTTGAGAATCTCGTTCCTCCTTCATTCACAAACACATTTAACCGGAGAGTAGAGATAACCGTGTCTCCATATGACATTATGTTAATGTTTATAACGTTATGGTGCAAGTTGGGATGCTTTTATTTTGTATTTTTGTTATGTACTAAGATTTAGGGTATCAAAATTATTCATGCATGTTAGGATTAATGTTTTAATGCAAATAACAAATATTTTTCTTGGTTATTGGTTCAACTTTTTGTGTGGTTGACTAAACAAATTATTCATTTTTCTTTTAGTGCGGTCTATCTAGACCAGACCGAATCAGACCGCACAGGCGTGGTCTGGACTGGACCGTATAGTCTGTGGTCTGGTCTATACTTCAACCTCTCGGTCTGGACCATACACCGTATATATGGTCTGGTCTGGACCAGACCGCACTGTTTCCCAGCCCTAAAAAACACAAACGAATTTGAAAGAATACTCTACCAGACCGCACCGTTTCCCAGCCCTAAGAAACACAAACGAATTTGAAAGAATACTCTATAACAAATTGCGTCATAGTACCCGTACTATGTTACAAAACTATTCAACATTCACACTACTCGTAGTCTAATAACAACATTATTATTTTGTTCACACCATGGTAAAGGAAACCGTACCGGAAGTCATACCGGCTCCGCCAGTGGTAGGGTATTTTGTGGTACTACCGTGGTTCAACCGTTGTGTACCGGCAAAATACCGTTTTTGTAATTAAATAATATTTTTTTGTTAAAAAACCGTACCGGCAGATTTGTGATACCGTTTCGGAATAATACCGGAATAAAACCGGAATATACCGGATAACAAACCTGAATAAACTAAATAAGCATATGTAATATAAAATTCAACAAACTGCAACATTACTGAATTAACTAAATAATCGTTCAAATGCATGTTTACGATCAAGTACAAAACAACCAAACAACATTCTTACACCACAAGTTCAAACAACATTATCAAACCAAACAACATTCTCAAACCACAAGTTCACAACTACCACAAACACAAACTAGCAAGCACTACAATGTTCACAAACAACGTTTCATATCGTCAAACAACACCAAATGTAGATAAGTCTACATTCTGCAAGTCGTCCCCTTCATCTTCTTCATCACCAACTACAATACAAGAGAAAACAAGTAAGAATTATTATCAATTATTAGTATTAGAATTCATATCATACATAATTGATTTACAAACAAACCTTCCTCTTCTAATGCTCGATCCAGCTCGTCAATATCCAATTCCTTTTCCCTAGAAGATGAACCTTCTTCCCCTTGTGACAACCAGTGACTAGTAACAGTAGAATCAATGCTTTCAAGGCTTATGGGATCATATGATTCTTTTTTGTTCTTGTTATAATATTCCCTAATCAAAGTAGAAAACATAAAATAATTCAATTCAATAGTAAGCATAGAAAGTATGAATTCAACACACAAGTTCTATAATTCAAATCATTACCTATTCTGCAATCGCAAGTTGTAATTCACAAACACCAAGTCACTAAGCACTTTATGCTGCAATCTGTTTCTTCTTTTGGTATGCACACGTTCGAAGACACTCCAATTACGTTCACAGCCAGAAGAAGCAGCAGTTTGACTAAGAATTCGAATAGCCAACTTCTTAATATTTGGAGCATCAATGCCAAACCATTTCCACCACTTATCTACATATAAAACATAGATGTTAGTTTCTTAAATATTGTAATAAATAGAAGAACTTCAATGTAAGTGATATCAATTACCTGGTTGTTGTTTCTGTGCAGAATCTATTGCCAACTTCCTCCCAAAGTTTCCTTCCTTTTCAGCATACAAATTCATCTCCGCCACCACCACACTATTATCAGGACATAAAGACGAGTTCTCAAGAAGATTAAGAAGTCCAAATGTCACCACCCTATCCTCTGTCCAATCTTCAGCATACTTCATAGCCGGATTAAGATAGTGAGCTGCCATAAACAAATCACGGCTCAAGTGCTTATCCCATCTCCTATTAACGATATCCATGTATGGTTTGTACATCTCCTCCTTATCTCCACAAACAGTCTTAATAGCATTTGACACCCTAGTCATCCCATCATACACATACCCCATTGCTAGTTTACTATCTGAATCCACAACTCGAAGCAACTTAACAATCGGAGCTGTCAACTTAACAATGAATTCACAATCAGCCCAAAACTGTTGATCTAGTACAATTGCCTTCACATCCTTTCCATCCTTAGTACTTGAAAGATCACTTTCTCTAAAGAACTCACTAATCACCAGTTCCTCCAAATCATGCATGTGCTCAAAAGTACTCTGCAAACTCAGAAATGTAGTAGCAAATCTAGTAGCACCAGGTCTCACTATTTCTTTCCAATTCTCCTTTGTCTTCAACCAGAAATAAATTGGACCATGATTGTAAACAAATTTGGAGACCTTGGTAGCTCGATAGGCAAGCTTCTTAACATGAGGAATAGATCCAATGTCACTCAAGATCAAGTTAAGAGTATGAGCAACACAAGGAGTCCAATATATATGAACATAATGCTCATGTATCATTGTCCCTGCCAATTTATAGTTGGATGCATTATCGGTCACCACATGAACAACATTTTCCGCTCCAACCCAATCAATGACCTCAGAAAATAACTTAAACAAGTTCCTTCCACTCTTGACCACACCAGAAGCATCAATGGACTTCAAAAAACATGTTCCATCAGGAGAATACACAAGAAAATTGATTAAGGATCTACGCCTATTATCCGTCCAACCATCCGCCATAACAGTGCATCCAGATTCCTTCCAATGAGACCTCAAACTCTCAATCAATAGGTGACATTCATTCACAATGCTATCCAACAAAGTAAACCTCAAAGCATAATATGTAGGACCGCCATAACCAGGACCAAGAGTCATAGAAGCATCCAATGCTATTTTAAATTGTGGAGATTTAATTGCTTCTAAAGGAACACATGCATCGTAGAACCATCTAGCCCATGCTCGATCCACATACAATACAGCTTCTTTAGTTGCTAAGGCACTCTTTATTCCCGGTTGACTACCGGAAGATGACCGTGGAGCAAAGAAAGTGTCAACCGAACCCGTAGACACATTAGGAGCAACTCTTTTAGAACTATTATCATCTTGTGCACTAGAAGAATTTGTATCACGAGGTTCTTTAAATCCAGCTTTGACAACTTCAGATTTCTTCTTACTAGTTTCATAACTAGTCAATAAATTCTGCATGTTTTGGCTCACCTCTTCCGGAACCATTGAGCATATTGCATTATCCCCTTTAACACCAGCTAGATGTTTTTTCATTCTAGTGATTCCTCCGCCTCTAAATTCTTTTTGACAATAGAGACAAGTGAGTACCTCCACTTTTCCATCCATATGCAAGGAACAATGAGCCCAAGTTGGATCACTTTTGCTTCGTACACCCTTTTTGGTAACCTTCGAATTACTAGGAGTTGCTACTTTATCAACCGATCCGGCTTCTTCTCCACTAGCCATTGTTGTCAAAACAATGTAACATCCAAACATTATTCATTGCAGAGTCACCAAATATTATTCATTGCCAAACACTTTTCAATGCACAATAGATTTACAAAATTTCATTCCACTCTCCTATGTCCCATTTCTGTATTACCAGTATTGAGCATCTCAGAAGAGTCTCCTTACCTAATTGAAGAGTAGGATCGCTGGTCGCCGGCGGCAGGCTCGTCACTCCAACCGGCGGCAGGGGCAGGGCAGGGTCGGCACAACGCAAACGCAGGGGCGGAGAGGGAGGCTTGGGCGGCGGCAGGCTCGTCCTCTGCCCTTCTCGTCGGTCGCCAGAGGCAGGGGAGCTCGAACACAGGAGGGAGAAGACGAAGAGTAGGATCGCTGCGCTGGTCGAGAAGAGGAGAGGATCGCTGTGATCGGCCGGCCTCTCCGCGGAGCAGCTGCTGTCCTGGTCGCTGGTCGCCGCCTCGCCGGTCGAGAAGAGGATCGCCGCGGTCCTGGTCGCCGGTCGTGAAGAGGAGGATCGCCACTGCAAATGGTCGCCTGGTCGCCACTCGCCAGCAGCAGGAAGAAAATCGACTGCGCTCCTTCACTTAGACAGAGTTAGTCGACGATGATTTAGGGTTTTGAGGCTTCGGCCGATTTGCGATTTGGCGATTTTTTTTCTTCTTCCCCTTCTAATGCCAAAACGGCGCCGTGCAGCTTACCCCCGGTTAGACCAAAACCGGGCGGTTTTTTGAAATGTTGAAAACCGGCCGGAACGATTTTTTACCTACAGAACGTCTACCGTTTCGGCCAGGCGCCGGTTTCCGGTTTTACCGGTTCAACCGGCCGGTACGATCCGGTTTCCTTTACCATGGTTCACACTCTCCCGCATAGAGCTTGACCCGACCCTTGGTCTCCCAATTCCCACCCCCATAGTAGACAGGTGTCAGTCAATCCAAAAGAATGTAAAGCCCAATAATAGCCCATAACCTGCCGCAGCATCCGCTCTAAATGCCGTCGTGGTTCATCACCTTTACCCATCCGCGTACCTCCAGCTATATTTGCTCCTGCTCTCATTTTCGAAAGGAAGAAAAAAAAAGGTGTGGAAGAACGCCAAAGCAACGGTAAATTAAAAAACGATTTTAAGGGGTCCCATTTAGATGAACAAAAAGTATAGCAGCTAGCTAAGCAGTTTAATTGATCAGAATGGACGGTATAATTCTCTGACTAGTTACTTCAATGAGCATAAGTGGAATGTTAACTTATAACAACGACCCGCGGATGGAGAATGTAGTAAAGCACTGGGTCGCATTTCGTTAGAAAATTAGATATTTTTAAAAATTGCAGTTTTTTTTTTTACCATATCAATTGTACATGTCGATCTTTTAATATAACGAATTCATCGATAATGAATCTACATCCATACCAAAAGCATACTACTCTCTCCAAATAAAATAGTTAACCAATCAGCGAGAAATTCATCGTTCATTTTGTTGCGTAAATCAGTTTTCACCTGTTCCATAATTGAAAAGGTTCTCTCCATAGTAGTTGTTGAAACGAACAATGTCAACAATAGACAAATCAACCGATTAATCAATTTATATTGTGTATCCATTCTTATTTCCACCAGCTTCTCTGGTCATTTTTCAAGTGAACAAACCTCATATTTCTGTCAGTCTTTTATGTTTTAGACTTTTAGAATTTCAGATTTCATTAGTTATTTTCTTTAGACGAGAATCATTGGACCTAGAATTTCTAGGCTTAAATTAGAGTTGTGATTTGAATATGTTCATCTTACCTATTTTCCTAACTACACACAATTTTATTATAAAATAACATTGGGCCGAATGGCTAAAATCGACAAACTTATAAGAACTATACTAGTTCCGGATCTAGAACAGGACTAGGCCATGACCCGGGGTGGCCACCCCCTGGATCCGCCATTGATAACAACCCAAAACCATATGTAAGATCCGGGGGAACGGTTCTCATGCATAACCTTGTGGAGCCATAACACAATCACTATCCGCCATATCAGGGTCCCTTTTCTCTTCTGGGAAGCCTTTAATTAATTTTTTCCCTTAATATTTAACAGACGATTTCTCACTCGTTTTAAGTAGGAACTTAAATTTTTTGCACAGTTAAATCAAATTAATTGAAAAGTTGAGTAATTTTTTACTAGTATATACTATATGGTATTGACTGATATTAAATAAGAACATATCATAGGCTATGAAAAAACTTATCATGATGGTATAAACATACAAAGACTGTAGGATGATTGAATACATAATAGTAGGAGTATACTAATTATCATTTACGACTTTCAACATTTTGTACCACAAGATACCACCCCATACCAGGGTGGTATTTTTTGGTCTTGTATTTTGTTCACCCAGAAATTTGCACGAATCATAGCCATCAATTATTATTTGTATTAAATTGAACCTAGCGTATAAGATTTTTAGAATTATGATTTAGGTTTTAGTTACTCATCATAGTTTAGACTTTAGAGTAGTGGAAAACACCATACTTCATTACTTTTTGACATATTTTGAAGGGTTAATATCCTAGTTTGCCTTGAAACTTTAACTAAAAAACTATTTACCTTAAAACTTTTTGAAACCCCTAAAATATTTGTGATTTTAAAATAATTATCCAAATACGATATGCTATTTCAGTTGATCGCGTTAGTAAATTAGCATGTATCACTCAACAGTCAACACCATGTGGTTGACATAAATCAATAAAAAAATAAAATATTTTAAAAAAAATTATCCCACAAAGGCATCTGGGGAAGAAATTAAGCTCAATGAAAGGACGAACTAAAATGTAGTAGTTGGTCCATGTTT